GCGCGAGTGCGTTCTCGGGCCTCCCGTGGGAATTAGTCGAATCATCGCGTCATTACGCGTCTTCGAAGCTCACTTTTGTACGCTCGAGCAACCGAATGGTAAAGTAAGATTTTTTCAATCGAATATTCGCGCATGAAATAACAAGACCCTATTCATTCGTACGCGATTATCCGCGAAAATATCCGCGAGATGCGGAGCCAACGGTCTGTTTCCCGACGGCGCACTCGGCGATAAACGTAGCTGCGCCGCCTCTCGAATTGAATTGATATTACCCGCGACCGTACGAAACGAATAAAGCTTAGAATCGAATTAATGCTAAACGCGCTGTCAGAATACAGTCCGTCGAGTCCGAATGATAAACGCGTTAACGTGCACGCAAACGTAAACACAAATGACGGCTCTCTCGGGCGTCTCTTTTCCACGGGAAGCGGGACCGCAAATTCAAACGTTGACTCGCGTGAAACATCAGGGACAGATGGGAGCCTCGCGAAAAATATTCGGCGACTTGAAACGCAGTTGGCCCCGCGTTCACGCCGGTATCCTTTCCCCCGCGAAATGCGATTATCGCCAGCCATGGCGGTATAAAAAAAAAAAGGTCGTACGCGAATCCGGGCCGTAGTGCTTGCACTTTCCTCGCGAATGCGAGGCGGGGCGGAAAGCCGCGCGGGCGAGGAAACGCAAAGACCGCTCGCCGACCGAAACGGACGCGATCGTTTCTCGCGGCGCTTATCATCCCTCCGCTTTTCTCTCGGCGGATTTCCGAATGGCTCGTGGCAATCTACCTGGTGTACCCACGTCTCCCTTGGCGCCTTTTTCGCCCCGGTAACCCCGTTCGCCGGGCTCACCCTTCGGACCCGGCAGGCCGGGGGCACCCCTCGCCACGGTCACACCGCTCTCACCCTTGAAACCCTACAATGACACTGCAAGGTCAGATCCAACCAGGTCCTCCATGTACGCTGTCGATTTTGTTTGTTTGTTTGTTTGTTTTTTTTCTTTCGTTCTCTTTTACTTTGCTTCTACGACGCGAAGCGTCAATCTGTCTGCTTTCGCGTTAGACGGGATGGACAGGAGGAGGGGATGGCTTCTCGGATCTACGTCGATGTGATGTCGGTCGATCTTGGCACCCGGCCGTCATACTTTGGAGCCGGCTTGTGCGCTGATTCGCGCGCGACGCATCGTCGGACGCGAACGTCCCTTTGACTGATGGCACACTTGAGACACCAAGATCGGCCAGCTGCTTTGCACTACGGAACACACGTGATGATCCACACAAGTATCAGTGTTTACTCTGTGAGACGTAGACAACAACTACTAATACTCATGCGACTCACGATTAAGGACGACTCGTTAGTAGGCTCAAATTTAGTAGAAAATTGGGGACTACTGATGTCTCTCTCTCTCTCCCTCTCTTTCTCCTTCGTGCTTCCTGAGATGTACAATTTATAGAATTTCTTCTCACGACTACAGAGCTACAGAGCCAATCTGCTAACAAGAGAGGAGAATCCTTTCTGGTTCTTCCGTCGGAATGTAAAAAAGAATGTGCCATTAATTATCGACTCGTTAAGGATTGGTAATTTGGTATATTTTATGCGACGGTGAGAGCTTCCAATTTAAATCAAACATGTGTCATGTACTTTGAAACGTTATTTACCGATACCCGAGAGAATTACTTCATAATAATTTTCGATGTTTGCAGTAACTCTCGTGTTAACAAAATTTGTATCAATAAATAAAATAGAGTAGATAAATCAGATCGAATGAATTTTACCCGAGAAATTCAGTCCCCTTTCTCTCTCTCTCTCTCTCTCTCTCTCTCTCTCTCTCTATTAGATTTATTAATTGCAATTAAAATGTCCGTCGACCTGGAAAATGCTCTGCGCGGAAGAGGAAGAGAGGGGGAGGGCGCGAACGAAGGACAGGACATAGAGAAAAAAAGTATTACGGTATTAAAAAAAAAAATGGACACGAATTAATATCCGCGAGTGAACGAGCGTGACAGAGACGACATGGACGCGACAGAGTAAGCTACATACTTTTGACAGATCTTGAATACTTACGCGATAGGCCGCAGGCTTGCGATCGCCGGTCGATAGGGTTGCGAGAGCCTCAACAACAACAAGCCGGGGTAGTAGTGGTTATTAGTTATTAGTGAATCGAACCGACACACGGGGGAGAAGTAGTGGGGTGGTGTTACTCGCTACATAAACACAAATTAGTTACACAAGCTACGTACACTACACGCCGAGGATCACTACTGACTAACTGTACACACACGTCAAAAGCGATCGATATTGTTCCCGTCATCCCTAGAGGGACAGCGGCGAATATGAATAGAGATCTACAGGGTGGCTTGGATCAACCGAGAAATTGCCAAGCCGGAATTCCTCGACAGATCCGAGACTCGTTCCTTGGCGACAATCGGTCGAGGAGGGCCGTCATTCTTCGCGTTTTTTTAACCCCTTCCGTATTAACTCTCGTGCCAAGAATGTCCGAAATTGGATTCGCGTGAAGTCGATTTGAAATTTCTTTTCTCAGCGTAAAACGAATACCGCCGAACGAATAAATGAATAAAATGAAAATGAGCAACGTTTGTTTTTGTTGATATTCTCCCAGAGTTAACTCGCGGAAACGATACTTCCTCACCGGAAAAGGCTCCAATCGGCCGAGAGTCCGCCCCCAAGACGTTTTCCGGTAGACTTAGCGCACCCTGTATATAACGTCAGCTGTAGTTAAGTGTATACTTGGCCGCGGCTTTGCAATCGGGACGGACGCACGCACGCACGTACGGCATCCGGACAAGTCCGCCTCTCGTTAGAGACGCAAATCGAGCGGACGAGCAAAGTTGCGAGCGAGCTCCGCGGTCGAATGGCGAATTTTACAGTTCGCTGCGCCGGAGTAAGTATCGCCGGCTGACACGTGTATCCGCGAGAGTTTACGTCGCCGACCGAACGACGGAACCGCCGAAGTTGTACGGATAATTTTCAGCGCTCGCCGAACAGCACGATGAAACGACGCGACGGCGGTTCCGCATTGCAAGACCCGCGTGCATCTCTCGCGTTTAATTCTGTTTCCTGCAGACGTGCAGCGCCGCCGCAGCGGTGTCCCGGTCGCAAAATTATTCCGCGATGCCATAATCGCGAGCGGAGAGCGTCGGGAAGCGCGGCTGGCTTTAATCTCGCGGAAATGCGCGTTCCCGAGACGATCCCGCGAGGGGAACTTCAGCTTCGGGAAATGAGAGGGTATTTTTTCTCGTCTTACACGCGTCGAGGGAGTAAATTAAACGCGCAACAACGGACCCCGCATGCCGTGCGTTCGTTTGATTGCGCTTTCATTCAATTTATCCCGTGCACGTCTCCGCCAGAACAGATGCGAAATTCACGGAGATATTTACCTCTTATTCATTAGTTCGCATCCCCCTCCCCCCCCCGTCGTTTAGAACGCGCGTATGGTGAAAAGTCCAACCGTCGAAAACACCTCGATTTTAATCGCTTGTCGTCTCCCCGTTGTCGGCTCGATGTAAATACACGAAAATAAAACGCGCCGAAAAGCGTGGAATTTAATAACTCGCAAATGGAATAGAGAGTGCCCTTCTTTCGCAAACACATAAAATGATGTTTGGAAGAAACGTACATTTGTACATTTAATATCAAAATAGCTCCGTCGACAAATTAATATCGCGTTGATTTCTAACAAATTCCCAGAATTGTCGCTCTGTAAACGTGATGATTGATTGTAGAAACATAATTTGCTCTGTAAAGAATTTTCGCTATACCGACTCGTGGCCCATATTTTCAAAAGCTTCATCTGTGCGCAATAGTAAGGTGAATGTCCCAATTTAGTGACCGTGTCCCAATTTGCGACAATTACATCTGTTCTTTACACGTCGCATAATATAGCTTCCATATATATCCAAAAATATGTTTTTAGTTTAAATTTTACGCAACGCAGGTACACAGAATGCCTTTTTAACCGATAAGAAGACGAAGTAATGAGATGAATTAATGTGATCGAAAGTGATGATTGTCCCGATGTCGGGATATTACACGTTTGTCGCGCGTCACCGAGCCGCTCGGTCCTTCGAGGAATAAATCGATGTCAGCGCAGCTCTCGACGCGTCGAGAGGGTCGCGCGAGCGAGGCGACGCTCGACGTGCGCGCGTGTGCGACGGTCGCCGTTTGCATTAGCCGTAGCCGAGAGTTAACGATCGCTCGGCAGATCTACGAGTATACTTACGGTGGACCCGAAAGAGTACAGTCACGCCAAGCTCTTAGGCGCGGTTACGGGGTGTTAGGCGCGTAGGCGTGTAATTCGGCTGGAAGGAGAGCTTAAGCTCCGCCACCCTCTGCTTGCTTGCTTGTCAGCCCGGTTTCACAGCCTGCTTTTGCGAGCCCGATGGGTAGCGCGCGCTGCGTGCGCGAGTGTGGAGACGGATCTACGTGGACGCGCGAATCTCTCGACGTCCGCGCGCGCGGACGACGGGGTTGAGAAGAGGGGTAAAATCGAAAGAGTTTAGGGAGGGGTGAGAGGGGGGGGCCGAGGAGAAGCCTCGGATACCACAAAATCCGTACGTGTTATTTGCTGCCACCAACGTTTTCTTTCTTTCCTTTTATTTCTTTCGTTCTGCTTCGTCCGCCTATCTACTTTCGTTCCTCTGTCTGCCATTCTATCTCTTCCTTTTTCGTGTGTTTTTCTCTTGAATTTATTATTTTTATATTCTTTCCTGCTTCTTTTTTTTTCACGGGACCGAACGAGTCCCGACAGTCGCTCGAAGTTACGTATGCAAGTCCGAAGACGGACACATGCGCGCGAGGAAAGTTCCGTGAAAAATGTCCAAAAGGATAATATCGTATTTCTGTGACGTGTGTGTGTGTGAATCTCTCTCTCTCTCTCTCTCTTTCTCTATAAATAATAAGTAATCTGAGCGTAAAATATTCTCGGATCGTTATCCTCTTCTGTAATTTACCAATTATCGAGTTGACCTCATTCGGTTTTACCCCGCTTGATTTTACACTCCAGTGAGTGACTATTTAAAAGAAAAAAAAAAAATAAAAAAATAAAGAAAAAAAGAAAAAAAAAACGATCGCTTTTTCTCATTCGCCTCGTCTTCTCTGCTCGAGCAATACACGGCATAATGAAATTTAAACAGTTTAAAAATTCGACCGCCCCCAATAAGATACAAAAAATTCAGACCCACGATAAGTTGGTTGAATTACAAAGCTTGCCGACCACCCGAGAAAGAAGAAAGAGAGAAGGAGAAGAAGAGAGCCACCGGGATTCCGGCGGAAATTCCGGGGGCAATTTTCTCGCGCGTGAACGTTGATTTATCTTTCGCGCTAATATCATAAGAATGTAAACATTTCCGAAAAGTCGGATTACAAATCGTCTTAAAACGGGGAACTTTCCTCGGCCCGTTACCGTCCGAGAGTGACGATGCTGTTTACAGCTAGAGTTTACTCAAAGATGCAGGTGTGACGGCGTGATGTACGTGCCCATGCTCGCGTGACTGCGTGGAGAAGTGCCGTGCACGCGCGTGCTGCCTCTCGTCTTCGGCCGAGAGAGAGAGAGAGGAAGCGTTTTCGTCGTCGAGACCCGAGTCGCTCGTTTCCACGGGACCAGATCTCGGGATTACAAAATCAAATATTCCGTGGGAAAGCGCGAGACGGCGGCGACGCTCGAAAGTGGGGCGAAAGAAACCAAAGAGGACGGAACGAGATAAAGGGATAAAAAGAGCTCGGACATCTTCACGCGCGCGAAAGAGGAAGGGACCCCGTCAGCGGAGCCATTATTCTTCGAAATCACGGTGAGAATTATTTGATCTGTAAAAGTGGAAGGGTGACGATTGAAATATCGCGAGGGGATTCTCTCGACTGACTGGATGCCGAGGTGCTCTCGGAATTATAAGACTCGATTGTATGTATACAGGGTGGTCCTGCGTGGTAAAAAAATTCGGTGTTTAAAACGGTCCACTGAAATTTTGTGTTACCTTAACATGAGGAAGGTGTGAAAATGTGTTAATTTAACATTATGTTTGTATATTTTTTAACACAGTCCTCGTGTTAAAGTAATACAATAAGATTTCAGTGAACCGTTCTTACATGAAATCTTTTACCGTACAGCAGCACTATGTATGTCCTTAACATGACAGATTCTTCAGGTCATTCTAAAACGAAACTTCCGGGCTTCTGGGACACCCTGTACAGACGTTAACGTTACACGTTCGTTACCGGTGTCACACGTGTGTGACGCAACGATCTCTCATGAAAGACAATTTTTTTCCCATCTCCACATCGTTAAACAAGTCTATTTTACGAAATCGCATAAAATAAAAATACAAGGTGGTCCGCGTGAAGAGAGAAGTCAACTTACCGAAGAACAAAACATGGTAGCGAACGTGCTAAGATAAACAGAGTCACGCTTGGCCGATTAAAAACTGTCAAACGTTGAGCCGGGAATCTCATTCAATACACCGGGGCCATCGCTGGCAAACGCAGCGACCGACCACGTGGTCCATCGGTCAGCTGACCTAACGCGAGAATGGCGGCAAGGCCGTTTTCCGTGCCGCAACGCGCTCGGAACTTTTCACCCTCGCGTCACGGAATTCGGCAGATGGCAGAATCTACTCGGTCGAGATGTGCGTACAATCGTCGATACATCTTCGCTCACAACGAACTCGAGGCGAAACCCCGTCGGAAAGCTGAAACTTGCGCGAACGGCCCGGGAATCGCCGAACCCCCGAAATAAGAATCAACTGGTGAGACCGGATTATCGCGACGGAGGGAACAGGGATTGCCGGCGGATGCGAATCGAGCCGGAATCCCGTTGTGAAATCCATCGATCGGGAGATAACGCACGTGAAAAGTAAGTTCGTTCGACTGGTTTACCTCGCGTGCACGCGCGTTGCGGGGCGATCTCCACCGTTCCACGGCCGACGAAATTACTATCATGGAAAAACCAGCGGCCGTCGTGCCGTCGTTATGTATACCGAGCAAAAGCCAAAACCAGGTTGATCGATACACCGGCGAAATTGAGGGGTGATCAAACGAACGGAGCGCGATAAAACGCGAAATAATGTAAATGTTGAGCGCGCGGGCGATCCGTTCTTCCAATTAACTCGCGGGATTAAGGGCGACCGTAATCAGGAATATGAAATCAGGCAATCTAGGGCTGCGCACCCCGTCTCGCAGCCCTCTCTCTTTCTCTCACTCTCCACTTCGTGGCGCCTCTGAGAGGCCCCGAGAGGTTTACGTGCGTACAGCACCCCCTGGAGAGGCGTGTCGCGCGACACACACGGTGTAATAAGAAGAGTCTCGTCGCGTACGGATACGTACGGAGGAAAGCAACGATTACGTCATGCTGCGCGCATCCAAGAGACCCAGATAGAGCGACACTCGTCAAGAGCCATGCGGTTATCACGCCCATCGACGGTGAGTGTGCCCGAGTGTTTTTCCTACCATGCAAAGCATGCACACACAAGGCGGTATACAGGATAGACGGAGGACGCATGGAATATAATGGGTCACGGTGGTGGAAGGTGTGTGTGTGTGTGTGTGTGTGCTGGAGGAGCGCACACACGGAGAGATCGGATACGGGACTATCTCTCTCTCTTTTTTTTCCCTCCTTTCCTTTTTTAATCCCCTTCTGCTTGCTGCACATTCGGGTTCGATCGGCGGGAGAAGAGGCTGGGATCGGTCGGACGGGGGGTGTACGGATGATCGGAGCGGGGCGGGGCAGGGGGTGAATGGTCGTACGGTTGCTCCGGTCGATGGTCGGCGGTCGGAGGACCTCGCTGAAGCTTACCCTCTTCCCTGGCTTTCCCCGAGCGCCCTTCTCGCCGGTCAGGCCGGGCGGTCCCGTCGGGCCCAGTTCTCCCTTCTCGCCCTGGGGCCCTGCGTGCCGGTATAACTTGCATAAGATGAGAAGACACGAGGTGGCCGCACGCTGCTGCCTCGCTCGTACGTACGTTCGTGCGTCCGCGGCGGAAGACGCGCACGCGAACGAGTCGCGCCCGGGGTTTCCGGGATCGCCGTTTTCGATGGTCCTGCTTAAGCGAGCGTGCTAAGTGGCCGACGTGATCGCGTGATCGCTCCTCGCGGAAGCGTTTCGCATCGGTACTCGGATTCATGCGTCTATGTGCGCCGAGGCAGCAGCCGGAGGCGAGCTCCTCTCGAGCGAGCGCGTCGTCGGGAGCAACTTGACGAGGCGCGAGTCCGGCCGGAGCGTTGAGAGATGTAATTTCGACGTCAGGTGTAAGCAGTTCGCGGCCGACGCGTCACGTCAAACGTGAAATGATATCGATCGCAATTAAACGGCTGCGAATTCATCCGCGCACTTCGGCCGCCGTCGTGCGCGCCGACCGCCCGGTGGGTAGATAGATAGATAGATAGATAGATCATTCTCGGCGATGTGTAGTCGCCGATCGCGTGTTTTCTGCTGATCAATTTCTGATTTGTCTCGTCCCCCCCCCCCCCCCCCCCCCCACACNCTGACAACTAATAAAGCGACGTATCTCGCGCGAACGGGAACGATCAATGTTGCTCTATCGCGCCCGATGCGTCGTCCTATATCCGCATAATATCTCCTTTCCCTCGCCGTCCAATAACGGAATGACATTCGCGTCGTAACTATCCCGGAATATTGATATAATTTCGTGACGGCGCAAGTTTCCGCGATCTGACGAGCGGATTTAATATTTACTTATCTCTCTCTCTCTCTCTCTCTCTGTGCTCCTACTTTGCGAGGTCGATATATACGTACTTCGAGACTTATTTGAGATACGTCGCGCGCTCTCCTAAGTCAAATCAGTGAGGATACTATTGATTAGACTGGTAAAACAGTATAGTAATCAGTGAATATTCGCTGATTTTTTAATGGAAACATTCTCACTCAGCTCTTTTGTCTTACATTTGACCAATTTCGGCCAGTGAAAGATTCACTGCAAGTCTTAAATCGCTCTTAAGCGTCCCATGGCAGAAATATACAGGATTTTCAGAAATTAGACCGATAAGCTTCGAGTGTTTATAAAGGATGCAAAAACAAGTAATGTTTGCCACCAAAACCAATTTATATTTAAATTCCCCGTAAATAAGATGCATATTGGTTAGTTCGTCAAAAGAAAAAAAATGTCCACTTTGAGAACGAATTCCGGATAAACAATAAAGAAACGCCGTGATATTGAGCTCACAAGTCAATAACAAACAATATTAATTCTACTTGTTTGGAAATCTCCAACAATCTTCGGTTTGATAAAGCAATTTTTATTGTTTTTATTAAGAGATAACACACAACAAAAATCTAGGAAGCTAGAGACCTCGGGTTCCCGTCAGAGTGAGCGTGTTTTTAATGATAGGTTAAATCAATGAAATATAATTGAAAATATTAAAATCACTGATAACACCTTACGGATGATTAAGGTAATAAAAAAGAAGTAATAACCCATATAGGAATCGTGTACATTCGGCCAATATTGAAAACTGGCGAGGTACCAAATTCAGTAAAAATACTAAAATATAGATTTCACGTTACGATAGCAATGCTTTAAATAGGAAAGCGGGAGATGTCACTAACATGGAGCTTGAATAGTTCAGTGGTAAAAGTGGTCGCTTGGCAAGCGGAAGATCCCGACTTTGATACTATCCGAGTCTACTATTTTGCTCCGACGTTTTTCGCTTCATACGATATTCAAAGTGGACATCTGCACGTACAAACAAGCATTCGGCCATAATCCGGAATCTTCCTTCCATAATATGATTGTAGTATTAACAATTGTACAGAAAGAAACAATAATAAAAAAAGTAATAACAAAAAATAGTAATAATAATAATTACTAGGAATCTATTGTCTTAGTATTGGGACTCGATAACGTTAATTTAAGTCAAAAGTTATTTTCTAATGAGATAAAATGTTTCTTCAGGATTTTCGAATGCTGAAAACTGTGCCGCAAGCAAAATTTCATCAGCACGGTCAAGTTTCCCAAATAATTGAGAGAATGCGCAAAATGGTTTTTCTTTGTGATATTTGACATTTTTCTGTGAAAATGTTAACGTTGTCTTGAAATTCTGATCGAAAGTCATGAAAGCATTGTCCATTCATCTGACGTGCTTGTGAAATTTGACTTGCGGGGGGTCATTTTTAGCATTCAAAAATCTATTAAAAACACGCCTGATTCGGAAAAAATATTTTTGTTATAAACTAATGTAACTTTTGCAATACCGGAAATCGATGCAGTTAAAGTATTGTCTTTCAATCTTTAGCCCATTGCTATCATTCCGGTATTCCATAAATATCAAATCGATATTGGCATCCAATACTGTTCGCTAAAAATCGGTATTGAGTTTTTGGTACCTCGTCAACAATTATTTCTTATTCGGGAAATTACATCTTTTTTCACTGTTTCTGCAGTCAGATTTCCCCGATGGAAACGCTGCTATCGACAGATCGTTTCAGCGAGATTTTCCTGTCTTACAGTTCTACACTTAGAATCATGACCTCCAGAGGCTATTGATTACTTTTCAGTGATGATACACTGATCGCACTTTAGAGAGCGCGCACGATTGTTAACATTTCACCAGGTCGCTCTTTCACTGTTTTTTCACCGTTACAGTAAAAAAAAGACACGTAACACGACGGGACGGGAAGTTTCGTACGACGAGACGGGAATTTTGGAGACACATAAGTGAATAACGCGCGCCGGCAGAGTAAATACGCTGTGCAACGTGCGTCGCTAATTCTGAAATACCGTTGTGTAGTATCGACAGTAGCGTTTCCGCCGTCTGCGCCGTTGCAGTTCGTTCCGTGAAATTGCGAGACGGATTTGAATGTGGGCAAATTAATTCTATCAGGTGCGCATATATAATGCTCGCGAGTCGGCGTTACCGTCCTTAGTTCCGCTGTCGTCGCACTACGGTATAAAGACGGATTAGCGTTCACGTAATTTCGTTCTACCGAATGCGGACGCGCGCAATACTACTCGCTGCGACGCTCTCGGCGACATGTTCGAAGACACTCGTCCTTGTCTTCGATATATGAGATATCGAGAGGACGTTATCTTATTAATGGCGAATTATTTTCTCGCGCGGGAAGAGACGGATCGATCCGAAGCTGCTCGTTCCGTTCGTTTCTTTTTGTGCTTCATTGATTTTGGCCAATGAAGTATTCACTGCAAATCGCTATTACACGCGTTCTTTACTAGAAATATATATTTCTTGTAAAAACAAAATTTATACGTTTATATTTTTTACATTAATTTAAATTTATTTTTGTGAAGAAATGAAAAATATACAAGTGTTTTTTTGCTCGTGAATCAATTAAACACGACTGAAAATATGTCAAGTAAAATCATTGACAACACCTTAAGAATAATTAATTAAAATAATAATAAGGAATAAATTAAATAATGCAAAATATAATAATAAATAAATAATAAATAAATGATAACGAAAAAGAAGTAATAAATAATATTCCATTTCGCTGCTTCTGCAGTCAGATTTCAGTTCAGATGCAAACAATCGCTGCTATTAACCGACCTTTTCAGGGAAATTTTAGTGATTTGCAGTGCTACACTCATAACTATGACTATCGGTGACTATTGACTGCTGCTAATAATACACTGTTCGCACTTCAGAAAGTAAACTCCGGACAACACACGCGCGATTTTATTCCGAGCGAAGTTTTCAAATATGAAATCCCCGTGGACGAATATTAATTACCGCGCCGATTTCGAAACTGTCGAAGGATTCATTTCGCGATTCATTTTCCCCGCGGCGTATTTCCCCGTATTTTCCGTATTCTCCTTGTTGCACCGCTGACAAATCTCGCACGAGGATTATAATCGCGAAGTTCCACCGGCGGATCAATCATGTCGCGAGAGGTAACTAATACCTCGCGACGCTTTTCCCAATATCCGGCACGTCACGGTCAACGGCGCGCGCGCACTGTAAACGCCGTCGTTTACGAGTATAGCGAGAGATCGGATTCTGAATACGTCCGCGATCGTAAATCATTTTTTTCCGCCGCGGCACGAACGCTTTGACGAACGGCCAAGAGTCGTGAGATATTGGCGCGACGAGCCGAGGAATTTTTCAGCCGCGCAGCGCCAGCCAACGCGATTCCGCGCGTGTTCCTCCCAGCTGGCGCCGAGTACGAGAGCACGTTTCCAGATTATGCATTTACCGCTTTTTGCCCCGCGGTGTTCTGCAACTTTAAGCGTGGTTGAATTCTTTATACACACCGAGGTTTCCCGGGATTGTCGCGCCGACGACTCCCCCGGATTCTCCCGGCATCTCTCCCTCGGAAGCGATTTTTCCGAGGTGAATATTTGACGATGGCTTCTCAGCATTGATCGCGGCCTCCCGATGTTTGACGTTAAATATCTCGCTAAATGATACGTCGGCCGAAAGGCCCCGGTCCGAGTTTCACCCGAGAGATCAAACATCCTTAGAAGTTGATTTATCGAAACTCACTCCCTCGCCTCCTCTCTCTCTCTCTCTCTCCTTCTCACCTTTGAACCTTCGCACAATGTCGGAATTATCGATTCCACGACCTTGCGAAAGAATTCCTGCAGTTCTTCGTTGTTTCGAGCGGGATATGAGACCCTTGCGGAAGGCGAATATACACGAGAGAGAGAGAGAGGGAGAGAGAGAAACAGTTCCGAGGCGATACAATGTAGCGATGCTTCGGCACGTTTGCGCATTTGCGGATATCACGTACTCTCCCACGACGAGGGAGCCGTTTCTGCGCAAATCCCGATTCCTCCGATATTTCCCCGCGATTCGCCCTTTTTGCGCGACGTTTCCCGCGACGTTTCGCGCGCGCGACCGGGTGTGCCGCCGGCGCGATTAAAGGTTACACCTACACACCTTGCCTCCGACGTGTTTCGCAACGCATCCCGACATACCCGAGAGGGGAATTTCTTTTCTTCAGTTATTCTCAAGAGAGATACATTTTCCTACACCGGAGATGCGAGACGCGTTGCGAGGCCCAGCCGAGAGAGAAAGAGAGAGGAAGTGTTGCAACCTTTAATCACCCGGCGATACAAAGCACGAAAGCTACGTGTATCTCGTAGCCGAGGCCCCCCGTTAAGAAGTACCCGGGAGAAAAAGAAATCCGGACGCACAACGTTAATCGAGTATACTCGACTCGCCTGAAGACTCAACGTCCGATCGGAGCGCGCGGGAGGAATGACGCGGGCGAAAAAAGGAGGATCGCGAATGCCAAAGTAAGATCCGCTCACAGCCGCATACATTACACGATAAGGCACTCTCCACGTGTACGCCCACCGTCCGTCCGTCCGTCCGTTCGTACGATCGCGGCCTCTCACCGCGTTCGATGCTCGAGGAACTGCACGATCACTCAGAGTCAAGATTTCCTCGTCAAACGTTTCCGCATTTTCTTCGCTCGCGGTCACGCCGCGCGAGATAATCGATTCACGGACGAATGCTATCGCGTTCCGATTCGCGAGCGCACGACTGAGTTAATCCACCCGCGGATCGCGATGTTAATTATTTCCCAATGCCGTTCCAATGGCGCGCCGCCGTTCGTCTCGGAACCGCGCGATGGAAAATCGCACGGCTGATTCGATCGTAGCGAATTGCGAAACACGCACGGCGTCGATTCCACGACGAAACGCACGTCGCATCGGAAAGTAAAGATGTACGCTCCGCCTTGAGAGAATGAACCACGCGACGCGCGTAAAGGTCGAGTCTCACTGTTCGTGCAGGCCGGCATGGGAGCGGTTCAGCTGTCAGAAATAGCGAGGAAAGTGAGTTTCATTCCTGAGTATGTAAGGAAATAATAAGTCACCTTTAAAAGAAGTGGGAACAAAGTGTCCTTTCCGAATGATTCGTACGTTGATAATTGTCAAAAGTATCGACCTTAGTGGGTAAGGCCTCATATAATGTAGAGCAAAATTGGAATTTTAAGGAACGAAGAAAAAGTTACACGATACGTGAAACCTAAACTTCACTTTAAACTCATATCACTCTTACTTAATATCTTGTTCTGGGTTGCGGGGGTAAGCAAGAATTATGAATGGATAAACGCGGACAAATGGTGGATAATCGATTTCACTACGTAAATAGGAAGGAAACACAGCTGTGCTCATGCCAGCCATTCATTGTCTGTTTTCTGACAAATCTGATAAAAACAGGTTAAAAATAAAACCACAGTTTTTCACTTTATGAATATTGTGTCGTTGGAGTTACCGTTACCTTTCCACTTTTTCTTTAAATTTTTTGTCTTTAAAGGGGCTAGTTTGTTAGTTGATGAATATGATTTTTTGTGATAGTTTTTTTTTTAAGGGTTCAAATCGAGTAAGAAAGAAGTAAGACAAATGAGTTAGTTTCTTAAAAGAAGGGAGAAAAAGTGAGGTTTTCTAAATAAGTGAAGAAAAGTGAGACAAGTGAGCCCCTCTCATGCCTGTGTAGACGATAGCAAACGAGAGTCCGTCAATCCTGCGTAAAACATCCTTCAGTAGTTTTGTCTGGATCTACGATAAGTGTAATAAGCCTTCTCAGCCTTTTGCTCTGAGCAATAAAACGTAACGTGATTTCTGACGAAAGGCGTTTCCCGCGCCGCCAAAGTCGTAATAAATCTCAAGAATCGCAACGTCTGATAGCGCTGGAAACGCTCCCAGCTAGAAATTACGTTACTCTTTAAATTTCTCGGAGCGGGATTTCGTTCGAAAAACAGAAAGACAGCCGATTCCCTCGGATTCGAGTGATTTTTCATTTGTACAGAGTGAATTCTCCACGCGGAATCGTCGAGTAAATATTTTCACTCGAAACTGCGAAGAATGAATCTGACATACCCCACTATCAATAGGAACGAATTCGCTCTAATCGATTGAAACGTTCACTCGTATGGAGTCAGAATCCACTGTAAGCTTCGGTGAAACATTCGCGATCTCGAATGCCGGTATTTTCACTATCGCTCTGAGTGAAAATACTGCCACTTTTCGCTTGTTTCGAAGCGCGAGATTCCACTCCGAGAAATTCAGAGAGTACAATTTAGTGCTCAGAGCGAAAAAGTTAAAGGTTTACCACACCTACTGTTGATCCAGCCTCAAGGTTACGGCTATTGTGAATGCTCTATTACGAAAGCATCGCAGAGTTAGATAGTGAGAATCAACCTTAAAACGGAGATCCGGCGAAATCGCGTCGTGAATCGCGCAATTCAACGACAATTGCTCGGCTCCTTACGGATTTTCCCGTGCGACGTCGGCTGATTATAAATATTCGACTCGAGTGAAATGTTGACGCGCGTTGACAAATAACTCGCATGAAATATTCATAAAGTGTGTTACCGTGTCGCCGCTTTCGCATTCCCCGCGAGGATGCAATTGGCGTGTAACGTTTAATCATTTATCTCGTATGCAGATTATCTCGTTTGTATGCTTACCAGGTGGTCCAGGTGGACCAGGCGGACCTTCGAATACACCACTCGGGAACTGCTCGCCCTTCAAGGTCGTCGTGAAGCCCCGATCGCCCTTCTCACCCTTGTCACCCTATCGAGAAGAAACACTCGATCACTCGTATGTATTTACCACTCAGGTATTTCCACCAGTGCCTCGTTAATCCTCGTTCTCTCTTCGAGCGAATACGCGCTTTGCGAGCATCGCAATACCTAACGATTTGTCTTCCGAAAATAAAACACGCCTCCCTCCTTTCGGCAAGGACCGATTCATGACGCGAATGACGAATTGACTGACGGTGATTTCGAGCGAGCGAAGATCGCGCCCGGGCGTTGTGCATCGTCGCGGTATCAACAAACAGCGGTAATTAATACGCGGGGACGCGCTGCAAATGTAATTAATTATAGTTAGATTGAATTAACAATGCACCGAACATAATTAATACTCTATTGTTCTGTAATCACTCTCTGTCGTGTTACGCTATTAATTAACGGTTACGTAACCTTTCGAGGGGGGCGATTATTAAGTTGGCACGATAACGTCGAACACTTACGTAACGCGACTCTCAGACGAGAAACGGTCCTTTTCCGTGGAAAATCGAACATTCGCGAGCATGATCGCGACCTTCGCGCTACGTTCCACCGAACGATTTATCGGAAAACTCACGATTAAGCGGGATCGAGGAGGTTTGTTGAAATTTGCGGGAAATCCAAAATCCCTGCGGGATTAGCCGGATTTGTTGCAAACCGCGCACTTGAAAACGTGTGCATGCACGAGAGCGCGCGGGTTCGCAATCATTACATAATTCCGCGTAACATGGTTTCCTCTTGTGATATACCGTAATATTAAATCACTCCCTGTGGAATTTGAGCGCGCGCCATCGAACGTTTGATATCTCGAAATACAAGCAGACAAGCAACAATAATACGTGAAAACGCGCCTCATAATCCCGACCGTGTAAATAAAGTCATGCGTAACTTCCGCGTTATCGATCGGACACTCTGACAAAACGATTGATCCTCCGCGTCGAGGAATAACGTATTTCCGCAATTTTTACGTGTTACCTCGCACAAGTACGACATACTTTGGAGAAAAAATATACCTGCAGCGTGTCCAGATCTCACGATTTTAATTTTATCGAGAATCTCTCTGAACAATTCGGTGATTATATTTTTTCTCATCGAAAATCTCGAGGGAACTGATTATTCATAGTGATATTTCAATTTTTAGTATAACAAATCTTCGTAATCGAGTCCTAAAGTAAAATTTTATTTTGTATTTTACTCTTGAAATCAAGCAAAGTCCTCTTGAAATCAATCAAAGAAAATCACTTCGTCGTCTGTTTGGTCGTGTGAAGTTCAGTTCACGAAAAGCTCCGCTTTTCCGAACGCTTGTATCTCGGGAACCATTGATGTCTAGACGTTTTCGATGAGGAAAAATGAACACTCCAAATTGCTCGGCAAACCTCTCGGTAAAATTAAAGTCGTGACATGTGAAGCACCCTGTATACGTTATATGTTGTACGTAACTCTGTTGAGTTGATACGAAAGTTCGTTCTGTTGTTTAATCAAAATGTACATATAACATTTTATTTGATTTAAAATACAATAAATCAATTAAACATGCGCCATTGTGCTCGATTACTCGTCATCTCTCCAATAACTGCATGATTCCGTGCTCGTAGAAATTTTAGGGTTTCGAGCGCGGAATTTCGCGGAGAAAATTGCTAGATTCAGATAAATTATTATTTCAATATTCCTCAGCAAATTTTTACTCAGATCAAAATAATATTTTCTTCATCTAAGTAAAATATTTACTAAGTAAATTGTCCGTAAACTTGTCCAAGTGAAAAATTTACATCAGTAAAAAGTTGCTAATAAAGAATATTGGAGTAATCGTTTACTTGAACCTAGCACCTTTTCCTCTGCGTCTTTCGAAAGCTGACCGAAAGACGAAACCGGAACTTTTGTACGAACCCAACATATAAATGTACATGTTACATGTAAATACATAAATATTATTTTTTGTGACGCGTCTGTCAAACTCTGAAGAGGACGACCACCTGAGAGGGGGTCGAGGAAAGCTTCGACTCTTCGGATCGAAGAAGACGAGCCGCAACTCGACACCCCGGCCGTGGCTCGAAGACGACGACGCGCCGCGAAACCGGATACGTGCGCGGTCGCGCGAATTAATCACTTTCACTCACCCTCGGACCCGGAAGTCCTGGCGTTCCCGGCGGGCCGACGGGTCCGTTCGGCCCGGGTGCGCCCTTCTCCCCCGGCGCGCCGACTTCACCTGGAATCCCTTGTCTGCCTTCGTGCCCGGGGAGACCCTCGGCTCCTGGCGGGCCGGGTGGTCCCGGTGGTCCGGGTTCTCCCGGTTCTCCCTATTACGTCCCAAGAGCGTTACGTCGTTACGGCTTTTCTCTCCGGCGAGAGCCCTCGACACAAGAGTGTCTCTCGGTACTCGTCGGTTTGTGCCACGGACTGACGGGATCGACAGGGAAGAAAGAGAGAGAGAGAGAGAGAGAGAGAAAGAAAGAGAGAGAGAGAGAGAAAAAGAGGCGGAGGGCAAGGCAGAAGAACCGTACACGTGGTACGGTCTCGGGTGAGCGTGTGAGGGCGGAACAGCAGCAAAAAGAAGTAAGATAGGAGCGTGAGAACGAAAGATAGATAGATCTAGACAGAAAAAAAAAGAGAAAGAGATAGGCAGACAAAGTTAGGTAAAGAGAGAGAGCCAAGAAGGGTCTGTGGACTGGCGGACGCGGGGAGAAGGAAAACCCGCGAGAAAAGAGTGCATGGAAACAAGAGAGATTTCTCGGCGTGCGCGAGCGTATTTGGGAGAAGGGGGTGGGGGGGAGGGGTGGTTGCTTAGCGCGAATTTATGGCGTCACGATGAGGGGACGTAACAACCGCGAGCGTTTCCGTTATCGTTATCATTAGACGGAAGCTGCAATGGCGGCCATGCGACCAGAGGCCCGACGAAAAGTTACACTCGACTTCCCCCCCCCCCCC